TTGACTTCCAAGAAGCAAACCTTTAATGTTACCCCCTTGGCGTTCATTAGCTACAAAACACCCTCAACAGAAACCACAAAAAAATGAGCAGCCTTTGTTCTTTCGGCTTGCATTTAGTGCAAGCATCCACGCGATTTGGTGCCAAGTATAAGTCACCAATGCTCATGTCAGACACACGCTGCGGTTGTGAAAACACGTGTGAGGTGCTGAGCTTCAGACATCGTTAGGATTAAGCTATCCCTCTTAATAAAGCCATTGTGCGGCTACCCGGAAACTCGTCAAGGCCTTAGACAGTTTTAAAATGTCTGGTCCCATTGCTTTGGGTTACCCGAGCTAATGTCATAAGATCCTGGGAAAGTTCAAAGTGGCACTATTGCCTTCCCTGCCTGTAAGCCAGAAACAAACAAATGCAAGCATACAGACCACAAAAACGTTAGGTGAGTGCATAATTGGTTTCAGTTGCCATGACAATATTCATTCGTTCCATTCAAATTTTCCTAGTTTTAGATGGGTCGTTAAAAACAGATCGCGCCAAAATCGACGTGGGGCATCATTGTAATCAAAGCGTTCCTTGTCAATATAAGTCTATTCCGCACTGTGTTTGTAATCAATAATTAAGAATAAAACTTACCTCCAAAGAACAGTGTTGTATTCTACTTTGTAGTAGTGTTATGTTTAAGTATTTCAAGACACGGGGATATTTTTTTAATGCATCAGAACATGCACGGCGCATATTAGGGTGTTACAATATATGCTTGTTTCGCCGGTATGGGAATAGCAGGAATTCGGCGTGGAAGATACGTTCTTATAAAACTACACGTTACAAGGGAGTTTAGACGTGCTCAACAAAGATGGAGAGGTCAAGAAAAAATTGCTAATTTCATGAACTTTCCCAGGATTCACTCACTTTACCCCCGAGCATCTTTGGGGGTAGCACTGGGCTTGCGCAGACCTTCGAGGAAGGTGCAGTGCGACGCCACAAGCTTCAGGTTACCTAAAGAAATGCCCCCCCTCCCTATTCTAAAACTTGGTATTGAATGACAGCGTCACGAACCCAAATCGAGTGCTCATGCAGTGCTGGAGTCAAATATATGAACCGCATTCTGCTCTTGTCGCTATAGTGTAATTCCCGTGACTACCCCGTGACTCCAGCGATCCCCATGACTACGTCATCAATTTTTGCGCAAAAAAAAAAGAGTTGTAAAAATTGTTCGCTTTTTTTCTTGAGATAATACCGTGACCGAAGTGCGTCTTGGTCAGTGGCGTGGCATGCAAGTATACTTGGGTCACACTAGCGCCCCTAAACTCGTGTAAAGGGAACAATTTATTCAAAACTCATATTGTTGTACGGCCACCCTAATAAGTAAAACACCTCCAAGTAAAAACTGAATCGTTTTAACCCTGGAGAGTGGGCATGCCAGAAGGACAGAACAATACGAATCTCCAAAGAAAATGCACGTTTTCCTGCGGTTCCATTTCCCCAGTTTCCAGGATTAAAATATATCAGTTATTATTTTATAGTATGCCCCACTCTGCATCGCTTTTGGAAGTGCGTGCCCTCTTGTCCTTATATTTCTCTATTGTCCAAGGTCTCCACCCTTCCTTTGACTCCATGTGATAAATGCATGAAACACAGAAACATCAGTGGTGAATCGTATCGCAATTTTTCAAGAAACTAATTTTTGCGGTCTCTTTACGGAGCCAAGCATCGGTTTCATTATATAGAAGCCACGGCTTTAACTTTTTCAACATAAATATTTATAGTTAGCCATACTCTTGAAGATTGCAATTTTACATGCGGTATGTTTTAAGTTATAAAAGTGCACTCCTTTGCACGTGTAACTGCGATGAGCGTTACCTATTATGTGCTATATTGTCAAAGCTAGCGTAGCTTTCTCTGTGCAGAAGTCCCCCGCTGCTGCAAGGGCACGTGGCTTTGTCTTTTGCTCATCATTTGCATGCGCCTCGCACAACTAGCTTCGACAAAGTGGGAAAACTGTGAAAGATAGGCTATCTTTGACAACAATGACGCCGAATGTAATACAGGTATATTTCAAAAGCGGCAGCTTTAAGGGGCTGTGTCCCAGAAAAGCCGGCATGGGCGGGACGGGAGAATCCTGATTTATCGAAAATTAATTCAGTGTCCTTAAGAGATAAAGGTCAAAGAATTTGAGGCGGTGCGGGATCGAGCTCACGACCCTCCGATTGCGAGCCCGACAAGCTAAGCCAGACACACGAAAGCAGTGCTGGCGCATTGCTTACCTCCCCCCCCCCTCCCCCCCCCCCCCCCCCCCCCCCCGTTTTTTGGCGCTGGGCTACGGCATTGGCCGCGCAAGCTATGACGTCTTATCAAAACATGCATTTCTCTCCAATGGCCTGAATACGATGCGACTAGCGTCAATACGAGCAAGGAAAATATGTTTAAGCAGACATGTTAAATTACCACAGAAAAAAAAAAAACCTTTTTTGGTATTTTTAGGGCTTATTTCTCTCGCAGAAATAAAGGTTTCTGCAACAATGTTGTACTGAAGCGTCTTTTTTTTTTTTTGTAAATTTTCAATTACGCTTACCATATTTGTGGAATCAATTCCGGCATGTCATATATAGATCTTGGATTGTACGGCGGGGAATAACCCAGGTGGTAGTAGTAAGGCGCCTTGACCTCGAGGCCTTCCTGTTTAAGGCCTTGAAGCATCTGCGAGGAGTTGGCGAAGCATTGCGTGGAGTTGGAAATCACGTGCACGCCCAAATTTCCCTCACGTGGAGCACAAAGAAACACCTAACTTGGCCCAAGGTTGGCAAATCTAGAGGTTCTAACTTAGACCTAATAAGGTTCTGCTCTAAGGCATAAGTTAGCGCCAAAATACTTTTGTGTGAATTTTCTATAGATATCCTCATTTGCCATCATCGATAGTCACCATTAGCGACGCGACAGCGTTCCTGAATACGCTTCAAACCGATGTTTTGTGAGTGTTCTTTTGTTTTCATCATGTATAACTTCTACTCCAATTTTTCCTGACTGCATATTATTGTATTTTATTGCGTTTATATGTTGATTTATTGTGTCGTACTGCTCCCCCCCCCCCCGTTATGTAATGCCCTGACTGGGCCTTTAAGGTGGAAATAAATGATAATGATGATTATGATGAAAATGTCTGCCTTGGATACACGTTCCTCTAGTTACATTGAAATTGAACCAAAAAAAAAAGACAGAATGACTGAAATCTTATACAAAACCGAAGGGTGTAGATGAATCCTTCAATAAAAAGTTGTAAATGGATATCTCACCCTGTGTACAATGAATTGTGTATCATTATGATTTCTTTATTTCTGCGCCCGTAAGCGAGAATTGGCTGAAATGACCCAGACATATACTGATCCCAAAGCAACAACAACCTCTCGCTGATCGCAATAAAAACGTCAAATTTTCGGGCATTCAGGGAACAACCGAGGGAAAGTGGATGAGACCGCGCGATGACGTCAGAGCGCCAAGCTCTCATTAAAAGGATTATTGGGTAGGAGGAAATACTCGCTGCCCTCCTCCTCACCCTCTCCTTCACTCCAACCAGTGTGAACAAGCGCGTAGTCTGCTCCTCGCACACTGCCTCGGGTTCGTACGCGTTTGAGCAGGGAGCACATAAAAATGCAGCTAGACTTTGTATCTACACGAGCCACATCCATGCAGAGCTCGGCGTTCTAGTGTCCCGCGCGCTCTCATCTCCAGATCTTCCTCTGTTTCTCACTGTATACCGTGAGAAAATGAGGAAGAGGAGGAGACAATAGCATGCAGGGTCGTCAGAATACCGAGCTCTGGTTGGAAGTAATAGTGGCTGGACGCAAACCTAGCTGCATTTTTCTCTACTTACTCTTGGAACGCATTCGAACGACGGTCGCCGGTGTCCGTCGTTTGGTTTCCGTGTTCGAACACGTTCCAATAGTGATATAGAGACAAAGACAGCGAGCCTTTGCGCCTAGCAACAATCCTTCGAATCAGAGGTCGGCGTTTTGACGTCCACGCGATGATGCGTCATAGTCGGAGGCAGCTCGCCACCACGCTGCCGCACTTGTTGACTAACCACGGCACCGTGCAGGCAGGGGCTTCCCCCGACGCCCCTTGGTCTTTTTCTCCGGACGGACGACGGCGGTTTATACTTAGTTTCAGCGTAACTTGGAAAAGAACGAACGCTACGGCTCCTTCGAGCCAATCAGAGCGATGGAGGCGAATCACGTGACGGCCCTTACCAAATGTACGGAATGGAGACTGCAGCCCAAGGAATTGGAGGAGCGCGCAGGGAGGATGTCCCCCCATTACCCTGACCCGCTTTTGAACGACCCAGAAGTCTTTTGTTTATTTATTTATTGATACTGTTAGTCGCTGCTCTTCTGCCCCCTGAAGATTATCCCGTCACTCAAAATACGTACAAAAACGACTTTCCCATTTCTCCCTCCCGCGGCTTTGACAGCACTATATAAGTAACTGTACATGGGTTGCACGTGACGTCAGTTCGCCCCGTTTTCAGCTGAGTAGTAGCGCCTCGTTATCGCAGCGGAAACTAACATTTCATGAGAACCCCCCCCCCCCCCCCCCTCTGTATGGCTGACTAATTGACGTCAGTGCAAGCTATGTATAGTCAGGGACACATTAATACCCTTATCAGATGTACACGTTAAATGGCTTTGAACAAACTAATTTAAAGGATCGGCTAAACAGCGCATCGCGATAGGCGCGAGATCGCGATTTGATTCCCCGATTATTTAAAGGAGTTCGTTCTGAAGGCCTCTAACATCCGCCTGACAGGGGTTTTAAAGTTCAGGGAAAGCTCCATCCACTTTTTTTTCTACTCTAGCAGAGCGAACGGTGGATAGAAGGTGACCTCCTCACCAACATTCGCGTTTGTGAAAGTAGAAAGACGGGGGGGGGGGGGGGGGGGGGGGGGAGGAGCTTCCACTAAACACGTAACCTGTCCCCGACTGTAGTGAGATAAAGTATACTCAAGTGTCTCGCTACAACACGCTGATTGGCTCACTGAAACCTTAGACTTTGCCTTTTATCCACGTTACGTTGATACGGAGTATTTAGTTATTGCCCAGCGCCGCTTTCACTCGATGGTGCAATCGAGAGAGCGCGCAGAGATCGCTTCGGGGCAACCGGTTTCGAGTTGTCCGCCAAACGACTTCCCGGTGTCCAAGAAAGCGCAGCCAGAATCGCGCTGCTCGGGTTCGCCAAACAACATGGTGCGCGTCCGAAGAGGCCTCTGGATTTTCCTACTTTCCATCTCCGTGCTCCACTCGGCGCCCGTCCACGGATCATCGAGAGGTGGGTGTTTGCACCGACCGCGGCTCCTCCAATCAGTTACTCGAGTAATTGCTAGATAACCTTACCACTTTGTCCCAACTTGTGTTCCGAGCGGCTGAGCAAGCGATGGGACGAGATAATGGCCTTGCTGCGCGCCTTTCTTGTACTCAGCTTAGGAGTGTGTTTTGTGTATGTTTAGAGAGCGGTAATTTATACTCCCTTTTACTTTGATTTCGAGCTACGAGTCGTTGGGTCATATCGTTCGTAATTTTATTGTGCGTTCAAGGACTATTACAAAAAAAGAAATAATATCATATACCATATCAGTCACTTGCGTACTAATTGTGTTTGTTCGTGGTTGTATCCGTACGTGCCTCAGACCGTGTTTGGAGTTATGATGAAACGAAGAGTAGTCTACCCGAATGAGTGCCTGGAGCCCGTACTACATATGTGAAATTTTGCCAGTCTAATACAATTGATAGCCCACGGTTTTTGACGTACATCACGTCGTATACAGTGGTGCACAACAGCACGCCTGAACAATGTACATCCGAATCTAAAGGCGTGGGGCAGGGAACATAGGATCTCTGGGTTATCAACCTGAGGTTTCGCTGCACGTGATGCCACCAGCTGCGGTGGGTTCTCTCCCCGCTTCAGCCGAAGGCCGAGCACAATAAAAAATGCGAGAGCTTTCAGCGTCCGTGCCGTACACGCTATCTCGTACAGTGCAAGCATTGTTCAGAGCAACATGCTCGATCGCTTATCTTCGGCTTCTCTCTCAATGAAAGTGACACAGAACAAAATAATGGAGCGCAAACACCGAACAACGGTCTTTGTAAAGAACGTATGAATTAACTCGTGTTTGCGCAAACGCGCTGTTTTCAAATCTTCGGAACTTTTCCGGGTTTCGTTAACATTCGGAGAAAATTGAATATAAAAAAAAAAAAACTGTATAACAGATACGTTTCGGAGAGGATATGTCAATTCTCAGCAGTTGGTTGTATAGACTGAAAAGTAAATATTTCAAAAATGACTGTGTATTAGAATATATATTGTTAATTAAATATTTCTTAACGTCAAATTATCTTGTTTAAAAATATGTTCAGTACAATCATTTTGTCTTGAGTAAGAATTATACAGTACAATTCCGTCTGATTACCTTGTGGCACCTTAGATCAAGGTATTACTTTTAATTATCACTGAACTTAAACTTATACCAAAGCTCTGTTTCAATAGTAACACGCTGTTTTATCCCTGCGTGAATCCTTATCGAACGTAGCAAACTAGCTCGCGATATATCTTTGGTTAGAAAACATACATGTACAAAAAGTAGTAAAATCACAGTAAAAACATCAACAACTTAATACGGTTCATCTATTTAAATAAAAAAAAATATTGCATGCTTTTGAAATCGATTTACTACGAAAATCTACACTATTTCCTAATCTGACACTTTCACTATCTGTTTAAATTACTAATTCGCATTCTCAAAAATATTGCCTAATTCAGTGGTGAGTGAAGATATATATCACTATTGTAACCGTGATTTGTATTAGACAAATCAAGTAACTGCGATATTTTACTAGAATGTATTTTTGCGAGTGTTTTAATAAAGGTCCGTTAGTGCGCCCCAAAAGTATTGTGTACATTATAGGCGAGGGAAATGGTGGGAGGGGGAGTTTCGACTGGATTAACTGGGGCTGAATAATCATAAATTAAATAAGCTTAAATTATGTCTTCCCGAGATCACTGTATCCTTGGGGATCGGCAGCACACGTTTGAAGTCTAACTACACTCTAAGAATAAAGCCCGTGCGTCCACTTCCTTGCCCAACACTCGGACAGACAATCACCGCAACTTATGGAGGCATCTCAGCGGATGACGATGCGGAAACATATGTTTAGAGAGAAAAAAAAAAAAAAAAAACGCACTCAGTTGTGACATAAGTAATGCAAAATGTCACGTTTGCATTGCTTAATATCACAAATCAGACTGCGTTTTTTTGGTCTAAACATATGACTCGGCATCATCGTTTGCTGAGCAGCCTCCGTAAGTTGCAGTGTTTGACTCTCCTAGTGTCGCGCGGGAAAGTAGACGCACGGGCTTTTTTTAGAGTGTATAACGACGATGTGCTCCCGTTATGCTCAAACACATAATTATTTACCTTTTCAGTAGATGTACTCCAAGGTTAACTAATATGGTGGTCGGTTTCCCAATTTTGTAGCGCATTAACCTTAACGTTCATTGAATCAAGTTAGGTTAGGATTAAGATTTTAATGGCGCAGCGGCGACGGTGGCCATAATGCGCCAAACAAAATGTTTTAAAGATCGAATGAAACAGATGCTAGGCTAGAGAAACTTTTTATAACTGGTGTAGATATCCAGTTTTGTTAATAAAATCAAAAACTCGTCCGAGTGGTACTAAGGCATTGTCTCCAAGTAAAAACATAGGTTGAAAGGGAGGATGGTTTCTAAAGAGTTCAGGAAAACATGATATGCGCAGTTGATGATAAAACCTACATTCCCATAGAATGTGTAAAACTGTAAGTAATTCCCCACAATGGGCACAAACTGCAACATCTTCGCCACTTAGAAGGTATGTATGTGTCAAACGTGAATGGCCAATTCTCAAGCGGCAAAGCAGAACCTCAAGGTGGCGGTTCTTGTGGAATGAACTTTCCCAGATGCCTATCATGGGTTTAATCACGTGGAGCTTGTTGTTGGTTTCAGTGTCCCATTCCAGCTGCCAAGTCTTTAAAAGAGATTTCTTTAGAAGTGGTTTAAAATCCTGGTAGGGCAGGCCAAAAGATACTATTGAGTCTGTGGCGGATGCAGCCAGGCGATCTGCATTTTCATTTCCTGCGATTCCTACGTGACTCGGTACCCAGCAAAATTTGATAGTGCATCCAAGGCGAAGAGCTCTGTGTACTTTAATACGAACATGTTGTGTAAGTATATTCTTTGTAGAAACTCTGGAAGAAATAGCAGATAAGACACTTTGCGAATCGACAAAAATGACTGCGTTCAATACATTGTTGTCCAGAATATGCTCAATGGCTAATAAAATACCATAGAGCTCTGCGGTGAAGATGCTTGCCATTGAGTCAAGCAGTACAGCTCTTTCAAAGTTACTAGAATAAACTGCACAACCAACGTGACTTAAAGATTTCGACCCGTCGGTATAGTACTCGTTGCAACCTCTCATTGAATCAAGTAACTTTTATGGTAACCAATATAGCAGCTGCAAATGTTGAAAATAAACAGGTCATACGCTAAAGAGAAGTCGCTTTATTAAGGTTTTTGATATAATGACACCTATGTTTAGTTTCCTTGTGCATCAAATAGTGACGTTTCTGACCTAGATATACTTGCATTTGCGGAAGAATAACGTAAAAAGGCCACACGCGGTTATCATTTTTTTTTGCTTTCTCTGGATTGTTGAATCTGCAGCTGCAACGTTCGAAGCCTGAAACAGGAGCGTATAAAAAAAAAAAAAAAAAAAAAAAAAAAACGTATAGCATGGAGCACACGTACGTTTCAAAACGTGTTCGGCTCTCCGCCATTACTAATCGTTGTGTCTAACGCCGAAGTCAGACTGCTTAAGCGGATTTCACATGCAGCGATTTCGCGTCCGAAATCGCTACCGCTAGTGGCGGGGCGGCACGGATCGCGAGGTTTCATTTCACCTGAGCGTTTTCTGGCGTTCCGATAGCCAACGTTGCTTGCAGCAAGCACATGCGCACAGTCTTCTACAGCGGCTTCTAACAACAATTTTAATGCCTTATTTTTCAATCCCCCCCCCCGCCTCCCCCGACCCGAACCTCCTGGACGGCGTTGGGGTAGTTGGTATTTCCGAAACGAGGATATGTGCTCATGATCCGGAGTATGTCCGTCTCCGGAGACTTTGGTCCCATTTTTCCCAGATTCTTTGAGCTGCGCGTTCCAAAGAACCCGACGCTTCGACACTTCACTGATACGCAGTTCATTGAACTGGGCGCGATATATTTGGTCTTATTGGGTGGGACGATCCGTGTTTGAAAAGACACGCCAATGTCCGTTAGTTCTTCTTCTTCTTCATTAGTCTTTCTCGCTAGCGGTCGCACAAGCTGCTTTAGATTAGCGCCTCTTGCGCTCAGGCGAGGAAAGTAAAAACGAGTCGCGTAATTCATTAAGAAAACATATTCCGAGGTAGGGCGCAGTCATTCCCCTCCTCCCTAATCTCCGGAACAGTTCTGACGCGACTGCTGAAGCAAAGAAGCTCGACCGGCCGGAAAAATGAAACCGCAAACCAGTCGCTTCCGTACTTTTTCCGCTTGTCGTCTGCTTCCGGAAAGTGAAAATGCCGCCGTCCCATGCGCCAGCTTTCCCGCAATGTTTCTCTTCCAGCCACGTGATTTCCCGCCGCGTTGTGAGTGGCCAGCGTAGAAGGTGCAGCTCTGCCGCGGCAAAAAAATTCCTGCTTGGTGGGAACCGTGCCTCTCAGCCGCTGCGGCTGGCCAGAGCCCCGCGGCGGCCGAAATCGCGCCGCTCAAGGGCCGAAATCGCTGTATGTGAAACCCGCTTTATACATCGTGCAAAGGACAGTATGCATGGAGACTTAAACGCGAGCCACCCCGAGATCCGCACTTCAAATGCCCCATGGCAATATGTTCAAGGAGAAAATCGGGCGCGCGGCATTTGAACCACAGATATTGCGGCGACTCGCGTTTGCAGGCTGTCCTTTGTATGATGGTATGAGCAGCGTGATCCCGGATTTAAGCAGCACAGTCAATCTGCTCATACGTCATTTCGGAAGACACGGTGATCGTTGCTGACGCGATAGGATAATTTGTTTACACGACTCCCCCTATACATATATGTTCGAAGCATGCTCGCGTTACACATATATGTCTGCTTGAATCGTGTCTGCAAACGTTTTTTTTTTTTTTAATTTTTTTTTTTTATGTGCAACGGAACAGTTCGTCGTATAAGGCACAATCACGCCTCAGACCGCGCCTGCAGAGTTTTTTTATTATGAATAA